ATTCTGCTCAGAGGAATTATCCATTAGCCACTCGACCGCTGTTGACTGGAAGAACTTTCTTCGCGAAGGTTGCGGCTGGCGGCTTTTGCAGACTGCAAGAGGTGTCGGCGGCCCAGGTCTACACGTCGAGATCGGTGAAACGCTAATATCTCGCGGTGAAAACCACTCAGGGCGAGTCGTTCCCCAGCAGTGGATTTTCGGAGGGATCTCTCGGGAAACTAAAGAGGTGTTCATGTATACAGTGCCAGATCGAACTGTGGCCATTCTGATGGACACAATTCAGGCCTGCATCGCCACTGGCTCAATCATCATCTCCGACATGTGGGCATCATACCAAGGAATTGAAACTATGATTGACCTAGATTAATCTAGAATATCGTGTCAACTGGAACACAATATGGTCTTTGTGCGGCACATTGAGTTGAAGAATACCATAAACGAGGGTTTTAGTTGAGTCTTTCCTAAAAAAACAAAATGATTTGGAAATGAGTGTGTTTTCCGAAGTAATCGCTTAGCTGTAACACTTTCTGTGTCCAGCTACCATGCCACCTGAACAAAACATGAGGACTGAGATACTACCAGGCTTCTCAAGCCTAGACATGAGCAGTCGAAATGCCGAAGTTGGGTTCGAACTGCGGACTTTCAGATCAGCATTTTATCCCTTCAACCAGTGAACTCGCTCGAGCGCGTTTCTCATGCCGTAATTCGTTTCCATCATTCTGTCTTTTTCACACAGCTGGCCTCTCAAACGGACGAATTAGCCCGTGCATGTCTGAAACATTACGAACTGGAACAGGAGTTGGCCTTCCACAAAATCGACAACAAGCTCGCGCAATTCCTGCTCGGTCCACGGCCTCGGGTGAATCAGTCCGATCTACAAAAGGTAGGTGATGTTTTGATCTAACGTCATCACACTTGAAGCAACGGGTACAGTCGAAGAGCGAGAGAATCCGCCAATGAACGGCAGTTGACGCCAACCACATGGGGATTCCGTACCATCTACCACCAATCCATCTTTCTAGAATCCCACGTCTCACCCTTGGATGGCTATTGTGCCAATCGCCCAGTCACATGACGGTTATTCATTCTCAAAGCCTGCATGAATCACTGTTGAGGTGAATGGCCAAATAGCTCCTCAGCTTTCTCTGACATGCCTCCGTTCGTGTAGCGTTGGGTTTCTTCGACCCACTAAGACAGAAGGAGAGCATAACGAAGGTTTAAACATTTCATCTGCAGATCCCATCAACCGACACGTAAGACGTGCATTCGTATGCCACAGTAACGACAGAAAAGACGAGTAAAGAGTAACACGAAAAATTCAGCCAAAAGTGAAGTCAGTGGCGTCGTACGTCACGAATTTTTGTGTACCTTGCCGAATCAGGAGCGCTTTACTGGGAACTGGTTGCGTGAGGTTACCTAAGTCTGTCGCGAAAAGACAATCTGCAGTCGATTGGGCAGATTCGCTGTCGTTTTGAAACTAAAAGCAGCCTGGCGGGTATTAATCTTTCTGCGATTTAGTTTGGTCAAACACAGACCGAGGGTGCACGGAACTAAAACACGGCGATCCATACAGTTAGTACCAGAATATCGTAGGGTCTAAGGATATGTGTGAAAACTGTTTGTGATTGGCCAGCGGTCACGTGAACAGTGCTTGGAAGACTCAATGCGCGTACGAACGCTTTCTGAGTGAACAGACTCGTGTTGTGTGAGTGACTCGCAATTGCTTCAACTCAACACTGATATTGAACGGATCCTGGTAGGCGCTTGGTCACAACTGGTTCGTCCTAGGTGCCTGCGACTCGTGGACTACAATTGGCAGTGCCTGACTTGATGTAACGACAGATTCAGCGGGGTTCCAGGCGGTTCTCTCGCGAAACCAAATTTATTTCCAAATGAGTGTGATTCTCTAATTTTGTGCACTTTGGGTTCAAGTGGAACATAAGTTTGACGGAAACTCACGGACTGCGTCTACCTGATGTGTCCCAAGAGGGATGAACCCGGTCGTGGGCCATCGAGGAGTTTTAAGCAACCTTGTGAGTAGTGTATTACGCCCATGTATGTATCGCGACATCTCGAATATCGTACCAGCTGAAGCATAAGGCGGCCTGGTGCAGGCTTGGAGACATCATAAACGCGAAATTCAGCTGGCTTGCAGGTGTTTCTCTCACAAAACCAAATTCGTTTGCAAATGAGTGCATTTCGCGAACTAAGATGCTGTTTTTCGCCCGCTTCGTATGCTCGTTCGGTTTTTCGGAAGTGACTAACAGTTCCCACCCTCGTGAGCGAATACTCATGAGCAATAGTCCCTTGTTATCGCCATCTTTCGAGGCGAATTGAGTGTCTGGGTCCCTAGAGATGCGCACGACCGAGGAATCTGTGCATAACGTGTACATTACGTCGTCGGGGAATCGTAATGTGCGAATTTGTTTGGCTTACAGAAATTACTCTCAACAAGATGAAGTGCACTCAGTTGCCCGGTAGTTTGCTTTTTACAGGGGATTCAGTCGAATCCCAGCCGAATTCGTCGGTTTTTTGTGAGATTCCTTGACTCGACATGTAGCAGTGTTCCGTCAACATATCGCGAAATGCTGCCAGCATTGTTCACAGCTTCGCGTTACGTTTGCTGTAAGATGCTTCTCTATTTCACCAGCATCTCATCAGCAATTGGTGCTGAATCGCCAGCGCGCGCACTGCGGCATGTAGACAGTATGCTGTCTGCTATCTGGTGGCAGTGTATCGACCACTGGCCTTTGTTTCCCTGCCCATCAGTGTCTGTGTGCGCGCCCGGTTGTGAGTCCTTGTGTGATTCCGGAATACACAGCACGGCGATGAATCGTGGTTGGCAAAATGTACCGATTTGCAAATCTCTTTGGTGTCCACTCAATCCAACCTCTTGTTTCTGAGGTCCTACCAAGCCCCAAGAAGAGCTTCCGAAGAGTTTTCAGCAACCTTTTAAGTAGTATATCATGTCTTGATGCGAATGGTTTCGAGCTAAACGAAAACAAAGACAAATAGTGTCGTGTACACCAGGGACAGCATTGAAAGGATCCATTTTGTCACGTAGACGGCTTCTGCGTCATCAAGGAATGTCCACTCCTTGTAGAAACTAACTTCAAAACCGGTTGTGGGATATCGAAGAGTAGTTTCCTTTATGAAAATATACTGCGATATCTCGAATATCGTGCCAACTGAAGCATGAGGCGACCTGTGTGCAGCACTTTCAGTTGTAGAATATCATAAACGAGAGATTCAGTTGAGTCTCTCGTGAAAACCAAATTGATTTGCAAATGAGTGTATTTCTTGAAAACAGTCCAATTTGGGTTCAAGTAGAAAATAAGGTTGACAGAAACTCGGGGACTGCGCCTATCTGATGAGCCCAAAATAGAAGAGCGAAACCGGTCGTGGGCTGTCAAAGAGTTTTCAGCAACCTTGTGAGTAATTTCCTTCATGAAAATAACTTAAAAAATATTATTCGGATTTATACGCCAAATGCTCATAGCCTACTGACATCGGATGAAACACAAAGTGTTTCTTCCAGCCATGAGTGAATTCCCAACTTGGTCTATTTGCGTGCCACAAGCAGCCTCCTTACCACTGCGAACGTCACCTAATGGGAACTCAAATCTATCAGTTTGCTGCCCCCTAATCTCAATGCTGACAAGACCACTCAACTGAATCAAAGTGCATGCTCTAACCAACAGGCATACAAATCGATATGGTGGCCTTCGGTTCTGGCTGAACCAAAAAATCAGCGGAAACTCGTTTAGTTTTTCTTGGACGCTTAGCCCAACTGCTAATCGATCCATAAATTATTGAACGGCAGTGAAGTATCAGTGTTGAACACTGATGTTATGCTGTCGATGATGATGATGATGATGATGAGATGATGATGATGATGATGATGATGATGATGATGATGATGATGATGAACGCATAAGGCGAACGAGCGCGCGGTTTTCCCGGCTTCCCATATATTACTCTCATTACAAAGACTAGCACTCATGAAAATGGACTTCTCCATTTAATAAGACCGTATTCTCATAAAGGACGCTATTCACAAGGTTGCTAAAAACTCTTTGACAGCCCACCACCGGTTTCGCCCTTCTGTTCGGCTTATCAGGTAGGCGCAGTCCCCGAGATTTCGTCAACCTTATGATCTACTTGAACACAAATTGCACTGTTTTTGAGAACTACACTCATTTGCAAATCAATTTGGTTTTCACAGGAGACTCAATTGAATCTCTCGTTTATGATGTCCTCCAGCTGAA